AGAGAGAGAGAGAGAGAGAGAGGGGAGAGACATGTTATCTGTGTCGGAGGAAGGAGGTGGAGCTCGCGGAGAGAAAAGCATCCATGTTTTCTCTTAAATTCTTCAGTCCCTCTGTGGTGATCAGTGTTTTCTGCCTGGATGCAGCACATTTTGATTCTCCGTCATTTGTAACTGATAACTCAATGACAAACCTCGGAGCAGAGGCTCTCTCCACAGTAAAAATACATGTCGTGGCTGACGTTGTGCAGTATTTCTGTGTTATCTCTACATTGTTGTTCCTTCAATGTTTATCTATTTAGCAACATTTACAGAACACCCATTTCCCAGAAGCCCTCACCCTCGTGGGTTTGATGTCACAGCATCAGCAACTTGACGATGAGAGATGTTTTGGGGATGTGAATGAAACCACGTTACGACGACATGCAGATGTTTCTGAGCTTTTAGTTATAATAATGAAGGTGTTGGTTTCTAATAGCAGCTGATCCTGATTCTGTCTGATATGGAAATGTTTTGTGATGATAATATTTATATCGGGAAAATTATTTTTGTCTCTGTGACCTACAGCTGTCTGTAAAACTAGGGTCCATATACAGAGACAGTGAAAAAGCACAATACGATTATAAAACATTCTGTACTTGATATAATTGTAAGAGAACAGTACTTCTATTTTTTTATTTGTACTTCTACCTCCATGATTTCTATTTCAATACATCCATTAAGTATTTGTTATGCCCCGTCTTCAAATATAAAACAATTGAATCTATTAAGTTTTTTGTCGATGTAAATTTAACTGTAAATTCATTTAATTGTAATTACAGGTAGCTTCACTTCACCAAGTCCACATGGTTCCGCAAATGCTAAAGTTAACATGCTAGTTAGCTTTGTTAGCTTCTCCATCATAGCTGACTTTAGCCAAACGAGTTACAACATCACTACGTTATGTGAAATAACAAGAGAACTACGAACACGTCGGTTGATTCAAAATGTGCAGTGTCCCCTGCAGCTACACCGACGTTAGCTGTGGCTAACTGCTCAGTCGAGTTGATGCAAACTGTGACAACTCGTTCCCCCGTTTTTAGACCTTTAATTGCAAACATTTTGAAATATAAAAAGCGCCGAATTAATAACTAGGAGCTGCTGTTTGCTATTTAGCATAAATATATCACCTTACCATCAATACATAACTCTGACACTAAAGTAAACTTAAAAACCTCTTTATTCTAAGGGGAGTTCTGGGCGAGTACTTACTGTGGTGTTGAAGCAGGTTCACTGAGGCTCGCAGACATCAGAGAAACCGTTTATTCTCCAAAAGGTGAAAGTCACGTTGAAACTAAAGTTGAAGAAAGTATAAGATTGATTCACTGAAGCCTTAACTTATATCACTGCTGCTACAACTCCTGAAGCTGTTGATCAGAGGCGCCAGACTTCAGTGATCAAGTCGAGGTTTTTAGGGAAACACCTGCAAACAGCTGTTCTGTTCACCTCTGACCCCAGCCTCAGGTTTCTGTCTCTCCACAGCTCCATTCAACAACCTTAATAAAAGAACCATGATACAAACCTTTATTATTAAAGGTTATTATTAAGTCTAGTGGTGAAGCTTCATGTTGCAGCTGAATATTCCTCCCCTTCCAAACATCAGAGATAATTTGTGGTAAACTTAAGTTGTCATAAAAACTCAAAAAGTTTTAGTTTGCCCAGTTTGGGCTACTGTAAAAAACATGGCGGCCTCCGTAGAGAGGACCTAAGTATGAAGTCTTTCAATATAAAGGGTCTAGGGTGAAGAAAACAACAATTTGTGCAGTTTAGATGAAACACACTAGTGAAAACATCATTAAGATTATTTTATTTTCAATTTCAGAAAATAGATCCCTGAATCTTATACACTGGACCTTTAAATATAAAGACTTATTGCTATAGGAAGGAGACAGAGACAGATCAGATCAGTCAAAGACACTTCAATAATTGGACAGAGCTTCTTCCTCCACATCTGCTATTGCACAAATATTCTCTGGGAAATCAACAAAAACATTTCACAAAATCCCCAAATGGACATATTAAATAATATCTGCACCAAATGAAAACCATGAAAACACAACCTCCTTGGCAGAGGTAATGATTTCAGTCTGAGCTTGAGACACAATGAGACACACGTTTAAGATTATTCATCAGATGGGGGAACAGACAGGATTGAATCTAACACTTCACATTATTCTGTTCAAGAGTCAATGCCTGGCCAAAAGTGTCACTGAGATTTATGAGTTAGATTTAACAGAAGAGGAGCAGGAGGAGGAGGAGGAAGAGGAGGAAGGTTTTCCTTAACCTCAGGGACAAGACGAGAGCAGCTGGAGCACAGATGATGACTTCTGTTACATCAGCCTCAGGTTGCAGGGGCATACGAAATACACAAAATGCACAGTTACTGTGTTTTTTAATGAAAATACTAAATACTTTTACTGTCAACACTAAATATCTCATCAGTGTTTCCAGCGTAGAAACCAAGTTAAAATGTTTGTGCCTCATTTTGTACTTTCTGACATTTTCTTTTGTGTCTCTGATGCAAAAATGTAATAATAAACAGCTGGATAAGAGATTTCATAGACAACAGTGCCACCTTCAGGCCAAAAATGATAATCACATGAAAGTTGATGTCACCAGAGGGCAGCAGAAACTTAGGAAAGATTTTGGAAACATGATTGAGAACATTCCTGTGGACTAATAAAGCTAAAGCTAAAAAGCACTTTTAATAATGATAATATACAGTATGTTAATTTAAAAAGTTTCCTGGACATATTTAGAACAAAGCAGGTCAAATAAACATATTATTCATTGCACATATAAAAACACAAACTTTAACTTCAAAATGAAATCACCACAAAGCAGCAGATGTTTGGTAGATAAATGTACCTTTTTATTGGATATTGAGGGCGTTAGTACCAGGAAGGCACGGACCAGACTTCATGATAACAAATCATTATTTTTTTTCAAACTACAAGGTGACAAAAAAAAACATTTTTTCCTGAAGGGAGATCCTTTCACAGAAAGGACGATGGACACACACATACAGCCTCTTACAACGCGTAAGTACGACCATATATCGAAGTCAGAGAGAGAAGTCAGAACAAATCATGAAGACTTTAAGGTGGTGGGTTATGACTGTATGGCTATGTACCTCAACACACATACTGTTTGAATATAAGAAACATCATTGTCCATCAAAATATGACTTAAGACATTTTCCATTAATGAGTAGAAATACGTATAAGTTCAAAACAGTGAAAGAAACAAACTGTAAGAAATATAGTTGTTTTTTAATTACATAGCAGTATCAAATTCATGAGTTATGTCATACAGAGACGTTTTTAAAAAAAAAAAAACCTTGTTCAGATGCTGTATTGCCGACTCAGGAAAAATTAAATATGACTTTGGAAACTTTCAGCTACGAACGTACACGTCACAGTTCAGCAACATGAATTTAAGTAGCGGAGGCTCGACTGTACATTTTTCACATCTGATGTTTGTTGTTTGCTGGATTTTAATCTGCCCATGACATGTGGCAGAGTGAACACTAAACATTTGCAGAAATAGTTTTGACATTTCATGAAATACAGTTGGATTACAGGATTGACCCCACTCTCACGTCTCTACAGTGAATATGAAGCTGATGTACCACAAGCAGATATTTGCTTAGATTAGCTTAGCATAAAGACTGGAAATAGAGGGAAACAACTAGCCTGGCTCTCTCCACGGCTAACAAGGTTGTACAGTAGGGCTGGGCGATAAACAGTAAAACAACATCAATGAAAATAAAAAAAAATCAATGGCAATATGGCAAGAGTAAAATAAATATTGATATATTTCCAACGCTTTGTGTAAACACAGTGATGTTGTTCATCAAGTTTAAAACTACAGCCTTCGCTCAGGAGCAAAGATCTATACAAAAATAAAGAAATTATAATAATAAGACAATTACCATGATGATCATCAACATTCATTGATATGGACATTTTTATTTTGACATCATTTTTGGCCCTATCGCCCAGCCCTCCTGTTAACCATCTTCACAAGGAAAGTAAATAAATGTTCCCTTATCAGCAGAATCTGGTCTTTTTCCAATTATTGTTTTTAAATATTTTAAATCAACACTTATTTTAAAAGTTCATTATTTTTAAGTTTTTTTTTCTGTTGTCGTGATAAAAGGTTACCGTGCATTTTAAATAAATCTTTAGTGTTTTCACCCCAGAGGACTCAAAATAAAAACATTATGGCTGTATTTTAAAGCTATAACTGCGGCACTTTGAGTTTGAGTTGAATGATTTACGAGTAAAAACAAAACCAACCTCCTGTCCTCACTCACACCAGCTGTAGCGGACTGAATCGTTGAGATGTAATTTACGCGTAATAAGAGCTTGTAACGCGACCTGTCAGCTACCACAGGCCTCAGTCCTCTCACATCTTATTAATGAAACCAGTCTTTCTTGTTCGGAGCAACAAACCTCTTAATACTGTCGCATATATTTGAATGTAATACTGTATGACAGTCTGGACGATTTTAACAACAACACAACACGTAAAGAGATTTCAGGTAAAACAACAGGAAACAATGCAATAAATTCCAGTTTAAAATGATGAGACGACACAAAAGTAACAAGGAGTCAAAGAAAGACAAATAACGCATGCATCAAAACTGTACTGCTTGTTTTGGCTGGCGTCCAGCCCGGCCTCCATCTTGAGTCTAGATTACAGAGAAGCGTCTGAGGCCCAGAACTCGACTCGAGTCTGGACAAGCAGGAACGAACTCGACCTCATTCCTCCAAGGAAACTCAAGTCGGATTTCACAGGACGAGAAACAGTTTGACCTTTTTGTGATTTAAGAAGCTGAAAAACGAGCCTCATCTGCCGATGAGGTGCGTTCAGCGATGTGTTGAGTTGAAGTAGAGCTTTGAAATCTGATGGCTTGGATGTTTAAAAATGAAGGGGGGGTGGGGGGGGGCGTGATTGTCAAGGCAAACTGCATAGTGTGATGAAGGCACGTCGAGTGTGTCTTCACATGATTAAGGATCCAGTCTGAGAGGAGACGGGGGAGCGTTGGCACACCGCACTTCCTGCTGAGGTAAAATGAAGTGGCATAGAAGAAGAGTAAAAGGATTATGGGTCCAATCCTCCCTCAGATGTTCGTGTCACACTTTGAGAATGACGCGGACGCAGGAACACATCAGTTCTTGTCTTTGGTTCGTAGCTCAGAGTGATTTTCTGTCCTCCACAGAAATCCTTGATATGCTCATCGTGTGTGTGTGTGTGTGTGTGTGTCTGCTGTGGCTCTACCTGCATGCACACGTCGTTTTAAAACCAGTTTGTAGGAGACAGATCTGAATAAAAATGTTTTTTTTAAGAAGATGAAATGATCCCTTTTGTTTCCTTTCACGCAGGAGGAGCAGGTTTTGAAGACACAGGTTCTCTTGAGCCAGTGTTCGTTCATAAAATGACCATTTCAGTCATAATCCTCCACATTAGTTCATTTATCTTGTGGTACGCGTGTGAAGTGGTGACTGAAGATGCAGCCGACTTGTTGCCAGTTTACTCATCTCTTCTGTTCCTTGCCAAGAATAGAAACCACTTCTCCGACACTCCTGTCTCGTTCCCTGAGGGCGGAAATATCTCCACATGTGACACAGAGGAGCAGAAAGGCCACCCTGAGGTCGCCTCGTCTCCGTCACACCACAAACTCTGGGACCTCTTCGCTGGTCAGGTCCAGGGAGAAGTACTTGTTGGTTCTCTTGATGGGGAACGGGTGCTGGTCGCCGAGCATGCCGGCGCGCTGATCGGCCAGACCCTGGTAGCCGCTGCTGTCGCTCAGCTCCTGGGCGCAGCCGAATGTGTAGCTGTGGGCGGTGTCCTGGCAGAGCTCCGCCCACTGCAGGCAGTCCTTCTGGTAGAGCCGGACGTCATCCAGAGACTGGCTGTGGCGGTCGGTCGAAGAGTCGGGCTTCCTGCATGCAGATGTCTGCAGGAGAAAGAAACAAATCAAAGTTGGATTAGCTGATGGTCTAATGATGTAATTTACATATAATCAATCAATCAGATTTTATTTGTTCACAAATCACAAATGAATCTTGGTAACAAACATCCAAAACAAGATGTAGGCAGAGAGGATATAAGAGAGACAAACCTCTAAAAGGATCCTAACTAAAAAAGTCTGTAACACCAGAGATGGCAGTTATATGACAGGTATTCCACTGAATAACCCAATTAACTGGTTTATAACCGCCGAACTGGGAAACATATAAAGTGTTGTACTGATGGACACAATTAAAGTTCACAGCAATTTTACCAATGTGGCGGCAGGAAGGAGCAGGCGATCTTTAAAGAAACATGGAGGAGGAAGGTATCGTGTGGATTGAGCCGTGAAAGAGGTTAATGCTCTTAATATATTTGATGTTTTAACTGCAGCGCAGAAACCAGAGCATTAAATCGAAATCACCTGCGGCAGAGACTCGATGCTCTGTCCTCGCATCTTGACGACGGTCTCGGAGGAACTGGAGGTGGAGGAGCTGACGTCTTTCACGATCAGTCCTGAGGAGACAGAACGGTAATGTTTTAGTGACTATGCAAGTGGTCCCCATGGTTGTGTGTTACATTAGATATTTAGTTTTAAATCTGGTTGTTTACTCGTAATGTTGTAAAACTGCGACTCAAATATTATTTGAATTCTTAGAAGCGCATGAGCTAAGGAAAACCCTGAAACCCCTGAATATAAAAAGGAATCCATCTGTACCTGAGTATCCGTTGGTCTGATCAGGAGACATCGTCAACATGTCCTCTGTGATGTGGATGCACAGCTCCTGGTCCAGAGCCATCTCATGTAGCTCCTCATAATCTTTGGGGTCGTCCACCAGCATCTCGATCTCTGCAGGAACAAATGTTTCCTAAATTATTACACAGCAAACCCACTGAAATCATTTCAACTTTGAACTGATAATCTGCAGTTTCCTACAGTCTCTTGACATTATTTTGCAGCACAAGGTCATCAGTGTATCTTTGTCTGGAGGTATCTTCCTTTAATAAGATATTACGGTTATTGCCACCGGCTCATTGTAGCTGAAACATCAACTCTTCGCTCCTACCGTCATCATCCAGTATGCGCTCCTTGCCGCTGCTCTCTATGCCGGAGGTGTGTGAGCTCCCGTGGCTGGTTGTGGACGAGCTGCAGGTCCGTAGGGGCCTGTGTGGGGCCTGACCCGGGGCCCTGAAGCTGTCCGTTTCAATGCCGGAGGTGTGCGAGCTCCCGTGGCTGGTTGTGGAGTGGCGAGACAGGCGTTTGTGATGAGACATGCTCCCCACGCTGCTGCCGCTGGCCCGGGAACGTTTGTCCAGGTGGTCCATGTCCAGGTCGAGAGCGTCGCTGATGTACGACTCCCGGTACTGCTTCTTCTCTGAAATCACACAAGCATAGACATTTAATTATTATTACAGATGGGATCAAGTATAAAATTACAGTTTCCAAGAGCCACAATTATATTAATATATTAAGTGCTGTCTAAAATTATAAACCTGAAACTAAAACTTCAACACATCGACACTGGACCTTATCACCAAAAGCTCCCGAATCTCATCGTCTTTCCGTGTCGACATCTTCGTTTACGTCTTCTACGTGTATGACTCCACTTTTTATATTCTTTTTTTTTTTTTTNAAGCCGTTATCGGCATATCGCTTCACCAACATGGTGGGCAGGCCGACCTTCAGATTTTGCCACCATTAGGGCCACAGGGCTAAAGTCAGGAGGCTCTTTTTTTTTTTTTTCAGTTTTACGTCTGTTGCGTCATCAACATGCCCGATCATTTGCTGGGATCTTTCCAGACATTATCCTATTGTCTCCTCACATGGGCTCACTCTTTCCTGCGCAATTTACACGAGGGCTGGTAGGAAAGGTCTGGAGCATTTCAGGAGCAACTGACTCACACATTTGCATTCTCTCATGCCAAAGTTAGGACTCTAGGCAGTAACCATCCCCGATCATTGTTACTGAGCTCTGGCACACGCTGAAAGAAGAGATGAAACAAACTTAGTCATAAAATAATATTAGCTGCTGGCTAATACCTTCGTTCTCCTCCAGTCGCCGGACCTGTTTGAGAACAGGTTGCAGGTTCATGTAGAGCCGGTGGCTGTTGCTGAGCAGCTGAAGGAGGTGGCGAGAGCGGATCGGACAACCGGTGTAGTAGATGAGTTTCCTGGCCGAGGGGAGGCCGTCAGGAAGGATCTCAAACTTCTTCCCCTGTGAGAGCAGAAGGAGAAAATCAAAAGATGAATGTTGATTACAGGACTACAGGATGATTTACTGCAGTTATGAAATAAGGAATGTGCTTTTGAAAAAGTGCCAGACAGAGGAACCTCAGAGAAAGAACGAAGTCTGTTCTTGAAAACGATTTTGTAGCCGAACACAAAGCGACAGTCAGTTCACGGATCTGTTTCTCATTTCTTCACACAGACTCTGAAACAAAGCATTTTGAGCCGTTCTGATGATTTTCCACAGAGAGGACATGTTGGCTGAATATACGGAAAAACTAAAATGGTGGGTTTGTGCTTTCTCCCCTCGCCTCTTGGCATTCGCACGACTCAATAACAGCTGTCTCTCGTGTCAGCAGGGTTGTATTCAATACAGACCTACACGCATTTCTGCAAAGGTATGGACTTTCAAAAGGTGAAGGGCGAGTTTTAAGACTGTCAAAATGCAAAGAGATGCAGGTTCTTGACCACTACTTTTTTATCCAGATGTTTTTTAAGAATCCAGCTCATTTGAAGTATCTTTAAAGCCTGTACATAAGTAAGGAAACACATTATAGATATTCAGCTTTTCTTACAGTCGGGAAATGAGTTCATAAAAAACAACTGACAGGTCTTTGACAGTGGCTTTCCTATAAAAGATAATTTTCTCCGGGCAGAGGTCTCCTTGAGGCTGAGAGATTTCCTGTTCGAAAACCCTGGACTGGCAGGAAAACTGTGGGTGGGAAAACGAAGGAGATTTATTCTCATCCAAGTTGAGTATTTGTCTTCAACCTCAAACTGCCCCTCAACAGCTCCAAGTGGTCGCCAGTGAAACGGTGGAGTCGCACTGGGCAGCAGCCAGGTGTGAACGAGCCAAAGTGAGTGAGTCAACACAGGCTGCAGCTGAATCACATCTCTCACATCAAACTCGAGTTTTTCTCTCTGCTTTTCCGTTTCATCTGAAACATTTGAACTCTGGACTGTTTTTTTAACTTCAGGTCTTCTTTGTTTACAACTTGCACGTTTGAGCTCAATTCAGTTAAGATGGGCAGAAATGTCGATGCTAATGTTGTCAGTGATGCTAAGCATGTTTCCAGGACAGTTATATTAAGGCTTTTATTCCACAGCCAACATTAGAGAGATGAGAGGAATGGATGGCAACAGAACACAGGAACGATATGGGACAAAAAGATCCGGCTCAACACAAACCAAGGATGACGCAGCGTCCCAACACGAGGCCACTGGCGTCCCAACACGCTGCTGTGCTGGGAAATTGCTGCCACTTATCATTTGAAATTTCAACCATCATTCAAATGTGAGGGGAAACATTCATATTTGGAAAGAAATTAATTATTTTAATTCAAACTACACATTCCAGAAGTACGGCAAACCATCCGAAGTAGTTTGCCTTGGCATCCAGCAGGGGGCGCTCATAATCCATTTGACCCATCGCATGCCCTCTTGACCGGTCAGTAAATTAAGTCGTTGATGTCAACTTCTTTGGCTGCGAAAGTGAAGTCGTTCCAGGTGGATAAATCACAACACAAGAGCATGTGAGAGGCGGCGAGTGGAAGCTTTTTGTCCCGTCAAAGTCATTCAAACTTGATTTTGGAAAAAGTGAAAGTCTTAACATGTTCAGCAGGAAGTCAGGCTAAAAGATCGTGTGACCACAGATGTTAATTTATCAAGTTAAGAGGAGAATTATTTCCAAATCCATCTATGGATGTTTATTATAAACCGACACTGAGTTAAGTTGCTGTTTCCACTAGTGAGAGTTTGACGTCTGCGTGTTATAAACATACCGAGTCAACTGCCTCCCTGCTGGCAGTGACTCTATTCTAACAAAACACAAACAGCAGCCGACTGGTGTCAAGCAGATTATTAAACGCTGTTCAGACATCACTTAGACCAGTTTCTTGTTACATGCAGCACACGTGATCGCTCCATCTAAACTGCACAAGACAGCTGCACAACTTTCTCCCCCTTTTCGAAATAGACAGGCCACACACATCGAAAACTGACCGCATCACCGGGGGGACGTTTTATCCAACGATCCATCATCAACACCAGCATTTACTAGAGTTCTGCTGAAGTCAGAGGCTGGCCCGCGATCCCACACCACAGGACACCAGGGTGATGACTTAATTTCAGTGGGAGCACACATCAAACTCTCACCAGCTCCAGAGAAGCAGAACTTTGTTTTCTCTTATTGCATCAGAAAACCAAATTCCAACCTTTACTAACACCGAGCGGAAAACGCTCCCCTCCTTCTCTAACCTCGATACCAAAGACGAGCTAGAGTCACCTCGGCCAAAAGCCCAGATCCAAAATACTCTGAAACATTTGCAACATCTGGTGCTTATTGACCCCACATGTCCCTCCGCCCTCTCTGGCTCGCTCGGCCAGTTGCTGCAGCCGTGGTGGCAGCGGTGTTGGATGACGTGACTGGAGGGTGGGGCGATGGAGAAAGCCTGTTATTCAGCAGAAGGGTGGGACGTGGCCACGAGAGGCCCTTCGTGTCCACTGTGAGACCACAGCCACGCCACCCCTGATGCACTGTCACGACGCCGCAGACAGCAGATGCAGGGAAACCACCGAAAAATGAGGAAAAAAATGAGAAAAACAGGATGTCTTTAACCATAACGTGAGTGGCAGATGGGACAGTGCCAAAATCAAGGCGACCCAAAACCTAAAACATTCTGGGAAAATAAAACAATTTTCTCAGAGGCCGAGCAGTCATAAAAACTTTCCAAGTCCATTCACATATTTCAAAAATAAAGAGGGAGCCAAAATTAGACTCACAAGGAGCACATTTTTTGTGCAGCAGCAGTGACAAGCAATAATTACCTCTCTGGGCTGTGATTATTAGCCCAACGGCAGAAAACATGAAGCCGTCAGAGTGAAACAGACATATAGTCGGCTTCTCTGCCTCCCCCTGATAACAGAAACACTGTGGAAGCAAATTAACAGACTGCTGCAGTCGACTGAACGACGAGCTGACTCAGGGCAGAGATGAGAAGATTTAACAAGATTTTCTTTAGAGGGCACGAGCAATACTTCAAATCTATACTGAAAAATCTGGGGAGATGTATATCATATGAGAGAAAATAATGCTGCTTCCAAGAAAACACATATGCAGTGGGTGTGTGTATGTGTGTGCGTGCGCACAAGCAAAAAAAAGTCTGTCTAAATCCCTGATTTGTTCCAGAGGACTTGCAGGGCTAAGATAAAACAGCAGCGTGGAGAAAAGGAGCCTTGCGTAAAGATTTCCACGACCCTGAGCGGGAGCGAAGCTTTCACAAACAGCACGGTGAGCCAGAGGAACGCTCGGGTTTCATCCTCGTTACAATAGAGAAAGGAGAAGAACAAACGGTACCTATGGAAAATGTGTGGTTCTGATGGTGCGTCTGACTCACCACAAATACCAGTTTTCCCACATTGGTCCAGGGGAAGTCGTACAACAGCTGCCTCACAGAGCCAACGTTCTGCAACAGAGACACAAACAGACAGAGTCAATTATTATGAGATCACAAACTCAGATCCAGGAAAGGAGAGAGTAAAACCCACATTAGACACACATTGGATCGCTTCTCAAATAAAAACTGTACCTGGAATATTTGAATCCCACGTAAAGTCAGTCCCAATGTAAGAGATGCCTCCACTTCTTTCTTGTCCTGTTGAAAGAGAAGAAATTATACATAAATGATAGAGCCTGACTGATATAAGTAAAAAAAAATCCATTATAGATCATATTGGCAAACATAAACACAGATACCGATATGTCTCGGCTCATATCGGCAAATAATATCACTATAGCTCGAGTAAAAAAGAAGATTGACCCATTTGATTAAGTAGAATAACTAAAAGTAAATTCATTTTGTATTCCCACCACGGTATCTGACTGTAGATCACGTCTGATCCCATCTCTCACCTTGTAGAGTCTGTAGTAGTGGACAGTGACGTCATCAAGCTGAGCACACTCCTTAATGTATTTGAGGTGCGCCTCTGAAGCCGTGAGAGCGAACTGGTCTTTGTGCATGTTGGGGATGTGTCTCAGGATGTACTCGCGGCCGCGCTTGGCTATCACCTGGGCGGGAAGAAAGAGAGAGAGAGAAACGTCATGCTCGGCTGCCCTGAAGTTGTGCAGACACGTTTCAGCAGATTGGCAGCACAAGTTGCACATGAGGATAATGAGGCTGCCTGCTGCAGGGTGAACTGATGTCAGCCCGCAGAGACCGAACAAGAACCGGAAACACTCTCGCTAAGCTCCACATGTGACTTCTGAAGATTTCATAAGTGAGTTTTCTAAGCACCTAAATCCACAAGAGATTTACTGCAGGGTAGCGCTCATCATTAAAACCATTTCCTGTCTGGTTTCAAGTGGCGATAAGGAGGCAGGAGGCTAATCACAGGAAGTGGAGGGCAATCAGACGGGTGTGGTGGTCATAACCAGAGAGGTGGCGGTGGAGGATGGCAGTGAACAGAGGTGTGGCCAGAATAGCAACATCAGTCGGAGAATTAAAAAAATATATCAGAGTGTGTGTGTGTGTGTTCCACTTCCATGGACAGAAATAAACTTGCTGTCCCAGTTCTCATTATCGCACATGCTCAGACGTGGAGCTGTCGCTATGTGTTTGGTCAGTGAGATTAATGGCAGGTGGCTACAGACCCATATACTGTTCACTCCACAAACCAGGACCCTAAACACAGCAGTACGTTCAGCTCCTCAGTCAGAAATACATATATTTATATTCAGTACTTTTCAGCAGGGATGACTCAGTAGAGTATCAGACAGAAGGATTTACCTGTCCGATACATAAATTAGTATTACACGCAATCGCTGCAGCCTTTCCAGCATTTCCCACAGAATATTTAATCTATGGCGGTAACGGGGGTGCACGTTCACGCACACAAAGGTTCTCACAGGTTCCGAGTGACAGGTACACAGACTAAAGAGTGAAGGAGAAGTTCTTGCGCTAGAGAAATTGCTTGCTACAACCGCAGCTGAAACTACGACGGTGAAAATGTTATGGACCAGCATGTGGTAGCACAAGCACGTGGCAAATACAACTGAGTTAGAGATCTCTTATGTTATTATGAGAAGTGTGGAAAAGTTTGTTCATTATGACAATGTGGCGTGACAAATTAGAATATAGTCAAATCATCAAGTTAAAAAGGGAAACACTGCTGTAAAAGAGTCAAATGAATGATAAAACTGTGAATCTCTTTCTATAGCATCATTCATTTAGATTTTGACCTACTTTTAGATTTTTGTTGTTTTATCCTGAATGAAACTGAAAACAAAAATAAATTCACAGGAAATGTGTTTCCAAACATTTTCTAGGTGCAGCTTCTTCTGCTTTTCTTTATTTTATTTGTAGTTGCGAGCTTAATATCTTTAAGTTTTAAAGGTCAAAACAAGATATTTAAAGACGTCACCTTGAGCTCTAAAGCAAATACAGACGTCTCTTACATAATCACATAAATAAACAAGTGCCTGATATTTAAATAAGAGCCAGAGAGAAAATAGGTCAGGTTAGTTTTTTGTTTTCCAGGTTGTGCTCAGCCGCAGAAGAACAAAGAAGATCCAGATGTGAATTGGTGTGAACAGTTAGAAGAAAGGAGGAGGATGTCGGATGATGGCCGTTGGTCTTAAATCATTACTTTCTTTTCTCTCTACTAACTTTGACAAACAGGAGTTCAGGCCACATACGTTACAGGTCAGACATACTCACCCACGGGGGGAAGTAGGCTTCAGGTTCAAAGTATTTCCCAAAGTGCTTGTTGCGTTTGAAGTTGCCGAGGTCGGCCTGCAGGGCGAAGGCCGCCAGCAGGAAGTAGGCCTCCTCCCTTTGGATACACTGAGAGAGCAGCACCTGTTTCCTCAGGTGCCAGTAGTAGTAGTACCTGGCTGCTCGGTCACTGCAGGGCAGACAGAGGGCAGAGTTAAACGGATTATATGCTAACTGCTGCTGAACTGGGTGACGGTAACAGTCTTTGAGCTTCACTTGCCTGATCAATCTCCCATTCTCCACGTAATACTGAGCTCTGAAGTGAATGATCATTGGAGGACCAAACTGGTCGATACCCTGGAGAACACAAATGGAAATCCACGTTTATTGTTTAGGACAGGGAACATTTTACATCAGTTAAGTCAGGGAACAACTGTAAAGCCTCAAGATTACAGTTTAAAAATGTACAGTTAAAGAAATGTTTAGGCCTAAGAGGTACAGCTTTGAAGATCTGTGTGTCCAACTGGAGATAGCAAATAGTTATTAAAAATTCCAATAACATGTTTACCAACGTAAATAACCTCCTTGGCTGAGGTACATTTACTTGGAATTTACAGGGTTAAAAATAAAAGAGACAGTTTAGATTTCCACTTCCTGCATTATGAGGATATTCACCTGATGCTGACTCTTGGATAAATCCTGTAAATCCGAGGCAGGGGATCTATTAAATCCAGTTTTATCAAGTTTTAGTGTCTGAAACTTCTCTTGTGTCACTTTAAAATGTAGACTTACACTCCCCTGCCCACTGTTTTCACTGAAAGTTTAAATCCCTGCACATCATTTCTCACCTTGCTGGCTTCTCTCTTCCATTCTTTGGGACAGTATTTGGACAGTTTCTGATCCAGCTCCATATAGATATGTTCATTATCTGTCGAGAGAGAGAGATGGATTTAGGTCTGTGTCATCACTTTGTGTGTGTTTGTGT